AACTTGAGCTCTGTGGATCACAAATCCAGTGTTTAAATGAGTACGACACATATTCAAATTAAAAACACCACAATCATTGTGGGTTAACAAAACTGAAATCAAACGTGTTGTCTGATACACAGTCTTTGTTTTGAATTTCGTGCAATCTACATACGCTAGTATTAATAATAATATCAGCAGATCAGAAGTCAAACGCTACATAATAAAAACAATATTTAAAAAAATCACCTCAGATATACAGCGATTCGCTTCCACCACTATCTGCTACTTCTGAACGGTTCAAACCTGACCTCGTCTTTAAAATGTGACTTCACAAACGATAAACACGGTCTGAACTGAAAATCCTCGTCATTTGTGTTGCTATGAAGCCGCAAACACCTATGTGTGTTTATATCGCTACAACAGTAAGTTGTGTTATAGTCTGTGTTTAGAGAACGTAATTTGTGTTGTGTTGAGAGCATACTAATTTACTGTCGTTGATCGTTCTAGTTATAAATCAAATTTCATTTATTAGGCTTCGTTGGAAAGTAGCCATTCTTAGAATAGAAATCTCGATATTAACTAGAATAATAAACATTCAAATCTAATTAAAAACAAGAGTGAATCCTCAATAGCCGCGGTACTTGAAATTATTTTAGGCAGGATTAGAGTAAATTAATCTATGACACCTTTTTTTCTTCTTTTTATTAGCTATATTTTTGTGTGCCAGCAATACCAAGCGTGAGGCGCGCGTATACCCGATTCGATTTTATTACTCATCAGGATCTCTAAAAGTCTACCCTCAAATTCTTTTAGGCAGGATTAAAATAAATTAATCTATGAGACCTTGGGCTTGGTCGACTATATCAGCCGAAAGAGTTTGACCTCCTGATTCCACAACTGTAATTAGATCTGAAATCGGTCAAGAGATGACGGAGCTATGAGCAAAAAGTTTGTACATGAAAAACCCCAGAGCCATTCTATGAGCCGAAATGCCATGGCTAATTATCACTACAAATAACGGTCTAAAATTAAAATGTTTAAATTAAGATTAAGAATAAACCGTGTATTGGAATCGTGACAAACATATCAGTATGTTTGGTAGTACTTGAATAAAAATATCCTCAAGATATTTGCTCTTTTTATATGAAAACATAACTCAAAAGACAAAAAACTGAATTGTCATTAAAATCGTGTAAAGTTAAAAGTCTATTTATAACGTATACTTTCTTCCTTCCCTTCGATTCTCCGCGGTGGATACAGCAGATAGCCTATTGTGGCTTTGCTCTAAAACAAACAAATTGTGTGTGTGTATGCAATTGAAACTGCGATATTCAAAGAGTGATATGAATCCACGTGGTATGATTTATAACGTCATCTGTCATAAATTACTTTGCATTGAATGTCTGTTAAATTTTTGTCATAAAGTAGCATTTGTTTGTTATTAAGCACAAAACTGCACAATTGGTTACAAATGCTGTGCTAATCGCAGAGGTCGAATCCTGAAATTTTGCTTTATAAGCCCTCGGACTTAACCTTCAACCACCAGGGGAGGGGAGAGCAAACAGCTTTTATGGAAAATAGAGTATTCTCTTGTTTTTGTCTATAGAACTTGAAAATGGAAGAACCAGAAAATGCTTGTTAGTTTTTAAACTCCCCCCATTTGCTTATACTACTGTAAAAATTACGACTAGTTTCTAAGGCTAGGGATTACATTATATTTCTAATGCTAAGGATTACTTTAGTTTTCTAAAGCTAGGGATTACTTTAAGTTTTCGAACTTACAGTGTTTTCGTAATTTTAAATTGTCAATTTCGCTAACGTAAATTTCCCTACAAAATTACATAACTTAAGCAATAATTTTTTTAAAAGTCATATTCCTACTTAGAGTTACCAAAAAATATGTTCTCATGTTCTCCCTAGTCGATCCAAAAATACATTTTCCCTCACTTGTTACCCCGATTTTTGAGGGGTTCAGTAATGATAGATTACAATAACTCTTCCTCCTTAAATGTATACTTGTTGGCAGATGCTTCATGTGACCTTTTAAATTTGCTGACAAATTCCAGAAAATCTCGAATTATTTCCGAAGTGCTGACGCCAGAAAACTGTGTCCATGGAAAGTTGGAATTTATTTTTTAATTATTTAGCCATTAGTCACTTATACATTTAAACATGACACCGATAATCCTGTTGGCGTGATTGTAGACATGTAGTGACTAATTTCTGGTGTGATGTCAATCTAAATATGTCCCAGAAGCTAATTTATTATGTCCAGTATCTTCTTTTACCACAGGTCACATCATTTAAGAATATTCCATGTTTACTATATTTTGTATGTAAAATGGTTGTCTGGAGTGTACAAAAAATGATGTCTTTCATACGGGGAACACCTGTTAATGTTATATGTACATCAGAGAACAACACACTGAATGAAGAGCTTCGTTTGTGTGTGTATATACATATAATGACGTAATATATAATATAAAACACATTTAGCATGTTGTTGTTTAGAATATAATATTAATAAATAAAATAATAAAATATTATCTTGTTTTATTTGTAATTATTTCATCCATCTGCTTGGTTCAGAGTGCTTCTTCTGCATTTATCAACATTGTTAAGAAAAAGAAAACAATCGCCTGTCTTATTGTGTGTTATATTTATTAACAAACGAAACAATACAACCCAGTCTTTTAAGCATTTCCCATCAGATGCTCACAGAGCTATGCACTAGAGTGATGCAGAAACAAACTTGCAACGTCCTTCGCAGCCAGTTTTGCATCCACACACACACACAGTGGATAAATTTGCTCTATGTTGCTGTTTCAGGCGAAGTTATCTATAGAGGCTGATGCTGATACACTCTTTTTTTTTCTTCACTCAACCCCATTCTACCGGATTTGGGAGTATTGGCATGACTACCATGTTTTATCAGTAAACGTAATCTCCACAGTAGACAACTCTCTTGGCGTGCTGGTGTAATGCTTAATAAGTTGGATTAATCCCCTCCAGGAGAGATCTTTCTTTGTAAGCAAGTATTTAATGTCACTAAACTGCCATGCTCTCATGAGCTAAGTCAACTGGGTTGCTATACAATTTGACAAGATATTAATTACCTCTGGAATTGGCATGCACACATCCCATGTTGTATTCTTTTCTTGCCTCAAGAATGACGATACTGTGTCACGTCTCATAAAGGAAAAGGGGTATAGAGCGCGACCCTTGTCTGTTTGTTTGAAGTTAAGCACAAAGCTGCACAATGGGCTATTTGTGCTCTGCCCACCATGGGTATCTAAACCCGGTTTCTAGTGTTGTAAGTCTGCAGACATACCGCTGTGCCACTGGGGGCGACCCTTGTCAGGATCGGCTAAAGCAGACAGTTGGTGAGCTGAAAGATATCTGAAGTGCTTTCCAACACCAAACGTTATCACACCTGCAGCAAACCCGAAAGATATTAAAAGTAATAACATATATTGAAATTGGCTCATGTGTAGAATTTTAATTATAATTATTACAATGACTGATGTTTATTCTTGTTTGCTGTGTGATACCTATTTGACAAATGGCTGTCAAACTTAATACATTGGTATAATATTCATATGTAGAGTTGATCTAAAACTGAAACTTCTTTCCATTCCTGCCAAAATATTCAGCGCTACAATGTGTTATTTGCACTGTGCACACCACTAGAATCTAACCCATAATTTTAGCGTGATAAGTCCTGCTACGTTTGAAGAGAAAAACAACGCATCAAAATGTTTGCATTGGAAGGAGTAGTTCCATTCTGTCCAATTAAGTTTCTATTAGATTTGATGAGTACTGTAAATGATATTTTAAGTAATAAATTAATGCTGTCCAAAATGCGAAAATATTAATAAAATACACTGCAGCTCCACAAAACACGTTACAGCAAAGACTGTTTTATGACATATATGGTTTGAAACTAATGTGACAAATTAATTGAAAGAATTTAAACATATCGCAGTTGAAGTTTTATTCTGGCAGAAAAAGATATACCCAAAAACTGTGTATACGGTTTCTATTAACCTACAAGCTATATGGTTTGAATTTTGCTTCGAGATTGACAAATTTTCCTGATTCTTTATACTGCAGTAAGCTGTTATTGTTGCTTTCTTAGTGCAAACTACGCAGTGGTATATTCACACTCTGTCGACCGCGAAGAATCGAATCCCGGGTTTTAGCATTGTAAGTCCATAAACTTACCGCTGACCAGCCGGAGGGGGGAAATTAAAGTAAGTGAATATTGTAACTGTGTGTGTGCGGCCGTGTGTAGATATATACATACATATATATATATATATATATACATGTTTACAGCCTAAACAAAGTAACAATAAAACTTAGAAAGAGTATGAAAATTATCCACGTCAAAATTATCTCGAAATTTATGGACACAACAACATCAATTATTTCATAAATGCTTTGAAAAAACTATTTGGAGTTTGTAAATATTGAGTAAATATTTTATGAAAAACACTCTGCACTAGAAACAGTTCTAAGAGGATTCAAACTATACGTTAGCAAACAGTATTACAGTATTCTTGTGCTTTCCTTATTAAAAGAACGATAATACTGTAGTTTATATACCTATCAAAAAATGATAACATTTTCAGTTTAAAATATATCATGAGTTACTATAACTGATAAAAACCATCATTTTAAAATGTGTTTTTCCTATGTTAAAACAAACCACTACACAATAAATTAGCTAGGTTACATGAAACGTATAGGAAATAATGAGCAACTAGTAACTGAAAACTCACCATCAATGATCACTCTGATCCAATTGCAGGTGATATTCTTGGATACAATCCAGCATTTAAGATCAAAATTAATGTCTGTCTTTTAAAAGGTATAGGTTAAAAATGGATGGTTTATTTTATGGACCCCATTTATGCATTTATCACATTTTTGAAGTTACCATTTTAATTTTTGGTTAAACATTTTCACATATATCGTATATGTAAAAACCTCAATCGCTTTATTTTGACCAACAGATGGAGCTGGGTGAGTTGAATGAAGATAATTTAGAAGCGCTTTTACTTCGCCAGGCTAGCGAACGGCGAAAGAAGCGATCTCGACGTGGATCCTCGCCATTTCCTGCAGATGGTAATCCTCTTGCTCAAGACAGGCGGCGCTTGTCGTCGTTTACAACAATATCTGGAGAGTGAGTAGCTTGTCGACGCCTAATTTATATTCTGGAGATTCTTTGACTTTCACTGAAATATTTAAAGGACATTTATTTAGTTTGGTTTGGCTATAGTTAAACATCAAGCTACACAATGGGGTATCTGTGCTCTTCTCACCACACATGTCGAAACCCGATGTTTAGCGTCGCAAGCCTGCAGATTTACCATTGAGTCACAAATTGGTTAATTATTCAATAACAGAGATGCTTCAATGCATAGATAGAATAATATTTGATGAAGTGTCTGAATTCCATTTTAAATCTATAACTTTAAAATTTTCTTAGCCATTATTTTGTTATTTAGATCATTTGAAATTAAGATCTTTTAACCCAGAACAAGTTCATGTCATACTCGCTCAAATGGGAAAGGCCTATAAACAATTTTATTTTTTTATGAGAATTTTTTCACTAAAATAACAAAAGGATTATTTGCGTATCGTCGTCTTTGATTTGAACTGATGGATTTGAAAAGAAGCTGACTAATAACGCCCACCGCCAACTCTTGGACTACTCTTATCTGACTGAACGGTGGGCTTTGACTGCCACTTTTATAGCACACCCATGGTACTAAAGTGCAGGGCGCATTCTTTTTTTGCGACGCGAATCATGAAACTTCAGATCCATAGTGTGGCACACTAACAACTGAGTTACATACTGTCGAATATTCGGAAATTAACTAAAACTCCTTGTTTACATATTTTTAGTAATTTGATTTGTTTTGAATTTCGTGCAAAGCTACTCGAGGGCTATCAGCGCCAGCCGTCTCCAATTTAGCAGTGATAGACTTGAGGGAAGGCAGCTTTTTCAATACCACTCACCGCCAACTCTTGGGCTGTTCTATTACCAACGAATAGTGAGATTGACTGTCACATACATATATATATATATCGCTCCCACGTCTGAAAGGGCAAGTATATTCGGTAACGAGGATTCCACCCCGTGACCTGCAGATTACGTGTCGAGCACCCTAACCACTAGGCCTACTAAGTCTTACTTTCTGAGTGATATGATAAATACAAAATATATATACGTTAGACATATGTAGTAACTTGCTAACTCAAATAGTTTAGTCGTTTTCCTAAAATAATTATGAAATCCACAGAAATGTGAAACCAGTTTATTAATCTTATTCTTGAAATTCTAACTAATCCTTTGACTTTCTAAAGAATGATTTTCACTTGTATCTAGACCTGGCGCTCTGACGATTTGTCGTTTGAGCATTCTTGCACAAGCATTAGTGACTTCTCGTTAGGACACGCATATTCCTAACTGGGATAGTTGCATTTAATTATAAACCACTGACTGTTTGATTAACGAAAAACTGATGAGGCAGACTGTTGTATTGTATATGAGTATATGATATCTGTGACTATTCATGTTAAGTATATCATTACCAGATAAACCGACAGGTGGAAAAATACCTGAGGTTCCCACTCACTCATCCGTACTTACAAACCGAATGGAAGTTAAAACCGAGAGCATTGGAAAATAATCATAAACAAATGAACAAGTTTTCCCAACCAACTCCACGTTTCCAGATGCTAGTTTAAGCATTTATCTGATTATTTTCTGGAAACACCGATGACAACGGGCGGATTCAGAATTTTTAAGGAGATTTCACGATTAAATGCGCCAGGAACATACAAGATGGAAGGGCGAGGTCCTGAAATGTTTATTCTTTTTAATAGTGGAAAAAATTCTCACCTAAACTTCCGCATACAAAACACTTAATTGTATTCTAACACCATTATTTTAATTTCTGCAAACTTATTATGCATGTACATTAATTTACAACAAAGCTTCCATTAACATGATGATGACGATTTTTCATTCGTTATTTCACATCAGTTATAGTTATTAAATTAAGCCCTCCTGCCCGGCATGGCCAGGTGGTTAGGGCGCTCGACTCGCAATCTGAGGGTCGCGAGTTCGAATCCCCGTCACACCAAACATGCTCGCCCTTTCAGCCGTGGGCGCGTTATAATGTGACGGTCAATCCCACTATTCGCTGGTAAAAGAGTAGCCCAAGAGTTGGCGGTGGGTGGTGATGACTAGCTGCCTTCCCTCTAGTCTTACACTGCTAAATTAGGGACGGCTAGCGCAGATAGTCCTCGTGTAGCTTTGCGCGAAATTCAAAACAAACAAACAGACAAACAATTAAGCCCTCCAGTGGCACAGCGGAAGTCTGAAGACTTATAATGCTAAAAATCGGGTTTCGATACCCGTGGTGGGCACAACACAGATAGCCTATTGTGTAGCTTAGGGCTTAGCAGCAAACATATAAACAAAGTATTATGTTAAGCTCTGAGCAAGTGTCAGAAAATATCTAAAAATGATTAATTCAAACATAAACATAAAAAAGAACCAACTGTAATGATGAACATTTATTGCTTCATGAATAAATCGTAAACAATACCAACATGATTTTTAGTTATTCTGAGACTAACTGAAGATGTAATATTTATTAACATAAGCACGTAAATTAAAATAACATTTATTTCCATTAACGTTATTTCTGTTTATACCTATTACTAAGTTTCAACAGCTTGCAATGAAACTATAACTAATTAAAAATAGTATTTTTAAAGTATATAAATATGTACTCATTGATCCAAATGAAACGTTTTCTATGTAAGCGAATGGTCTGTCAAGTCTGGTGGTTAGGGCGCCTCCACTCGTAATCTGCAGGTCATGGGTCCTGACCCCATCACTGAACATGTTTGGCCCTTTCAACCATGGGGCGTTATAATATGATGGTTAATCCCACTTTTAGTTGGTAAAAGAGTACCATAAGAGTTGGCGTTGGGTGGTGTTGACTACCTGCCTTCCCTTCAGTTTATCACTTCGAGTAACCTTGAGCGAAATTCAACAAAAGAGAAACAAACAAAATTCTGTGTAAATTAGATGTAAGTTAGTAAGAGGAGTGATTTCTTATTTAGTAATTTGTATGCCGTTTCCAAGTCCTTGTCATCTTGATATCGTATTTGATAGTTTCAAAATTTTTATAGACTTATTTGGTCAGTGTTTTTGTTTTTTTTTACAATACGTCTTTTTCTCTTATATGCGTCCCTCGGTGACTCAGCAGCAAGTTTGAGGGCTTAAACGCTAAAAATCGGGGTTCAATACCGCGGTGGGAACAGCGCGGATAGACCATTGTGTAGCTTGAAACTTAAGAACGAACAAACTCTTTATATTTTACAAGTACTTTATTATATGAACTCGACATCAAAACTAGACCAAACCCAAACATCCTTATTCATATAGTAATAGTAACTAATAAGTTTGACATGTTACATCTGTGTGAATATATATTGTGATCGTGTAAGACATAAGGCGATTTTGCTCGAAAATGAAGTTTTAAGCATTTAGGTGATTACTCTCTAACCAGAATCGGCCAATTTGACAAAACACAAAAGATATTGAGGACTGTTGGTACTAGATGGTAGCTGTTTTTTTCTAATATGCCGAGTCTGTAATGTCTGTGGTATTTTTTTTTTCAAGACAAACAGCAAGAAGAATTTCAATAATTTGATCATTATCTAAGTGTTGAAATATGCTGAAATAATAGAAATAAAATTGTTTGGAATTTTTCATTGTAATGTACCTGATATTTTGAGACTCAATCGATAAGACTGAGAGTTTGTTTCAGATATTTGTCCCAAGCTACATAAGAAATATCATTGCTAGCCGACCCTAATTAGTATGGTCGTTGAATCCTAAAATTGTAGTCTATCCTGAAAAAAATGTGGTACCAAGCGGTATTTGCTATCGTTAGAACTGGCACTTTCTGGTCTACAACATATCCGAAATCCTTAACAAACCCACTTGGGGAAAGTTGTTTATATCCAAATTAGCTAAAGTCACTTTTTTTTTTTTACATTTTCTTCACATCAGTTGAACCTACATAGCTAGTTTTCGGCCTGAATCGTTTTGAAGCTGTAAAAATAAATTAAATTTCTTTAGAAAAATATCAAATTTGCT